CAGTAGGGCAGCTCAGTGGGAATAAAGAGCCACCAGCTCACCCTCACATGCCCCTGAAGACAGCATTTGGGTTGCAGCTGGAGGGATTTAGATTAGACTCACAGACTGCCAAACCAGGAACTGCCAGGGCACGGGCATGAGTCCATTCAGCGGGGCCAGGGAGGGGCAGCAGGAGGAGCTTATGAACTGCACCTGACAACATTTGCACTTGAGCCCCGAGTTAGAAGGTGAATTCAGGCCAAGATGCCCAGTGCTTTCTGAGCCTCAGGGAGAGTTTTCTTCCTCCAATCTGGGAGGCTTTTAGCCCCTGATGTAGCCCTCCAGTGGCTCCTCATGGTTCCTGGATGTAAGGGCAAACTCCTGCCTGGCATTTGAGGCCTCCAGAGCCTGGGGACCCCTGTGTCCCCAACCACACATCTCCTCTTTGTCGATACATGCTGAGCAAGAGCCAGGCCTCCCTCCTCTCTGTCTGGTAAATGTTCACTGCTGCTGAGGCTTTTGTGCCTCCGCTGGGACGCTAACGACTTTGCTCTGGGCCCCTCTTCCAGGAAGACCTCCCAGATTAGTCAAGTCTCCTCAACCAAGCCAGGATCCTTCTCAGGGACACTACCACCTCCCCCAACTCTTGACAGTCTCTTGCAATCAGTTCCTTCCTGAGGGTCTTGGGCTTTTTCCCAGTGGAACAGCAAAGGTCCTGCAGGGTGGCCTGGGACAGGGTCAGCCAGGCTGGAGGAAGGTGGGGAGTTCGGGAGGTTTCCCGGAGGAGGGAGGCCCTGACAGAGGGAGCCAAGTTGGTATCAAATGTTCTGAGAATGCCCTTGTCGAGGACAGAGGCTTGGAGCAGATCTGACTCATTCCTGCCATCGCGTTGTCTGGCTCTGGGCCCAGCCAGAGGGCCTGCTTGGACCCCTTGCTAGCAGATGGCCTTGCAAAGAGTGACATCTGTTTTGGGCTATGCTATCCAATCTGGTAGCCATTGGCCACATGTGTTCTTGGGCACTTGAAATGTGGCTAATTTGAGTTGAGCTGTGCAGTGAGTGTGAAATACTCACTGGATTTCAAAAATTTAGCCCCCAGGGCTTCCCGGGTGGCGCAGTGGTTAAGAATCTGCCTGCCAATGCGGGGGACATGGGTTTGAGCCCTGGTCCGGGAAGATCCCACATGCCAGGGAGCAACTAAGCCCATGTGCTACAACTGAGCCTGTACTCTAGAGCCTGAGAGCCACAACTACTAAAGCCCTCAAGCCTAGAGCCCGTGCTCCGCAGCAAGAGAAGCCACTGCAATGAGAAGCCCGTGCAACCCAACGAAGACCCAAGCCAGCCAAAAGTAAATTAATTAATTAATTAAAAAAAAATTTAGCCCCCCAAATAATGTAAAATATCTCATTAATTTTTCATATTGATGATATGTTAAAATGGTAAGATATTTTGGATATAACTGAGTCAACTAAAATATATTCTTCAAATGAAATATACATTTTTCTTTTATATAAGATTTTTATTATTTTAAAATTTTATTTTTGTTTTTTTCTTCCAGTTTATTGAGATATAATTGACATACATCACTGTATAAATTTAAGGGGTACAGCATAATGATTTGACTTATATACATCATGAAATGACTGTCACAATCAGTTTAGTGAACATCCATCATCTCGTATGGATAAAAAATTAAAGAAATAGAAAAATCTTCCTTGTGACGAGAACTCTTAGGATTTACCCCTTAACAGCTATCACGTATAACTTACAGCAGTGTTCATTATATTTATCATGTTGTACATTACATCCCTAGTACTAATTTATCTTATAACTGGTTTGTGCCTTTTGACTGCCTTCATCCAATCACCCCCTACCCACACACCCCCGCCTCTGGTAACTACAAATTTGATTTCTTTTTCTATGAGTTTGTTTTTGAAGTATGATTGACCTACATCACTATGTTAGTTTCTGGCACACAACATAGTGATTCGATATCGCGATACATTTCAAAATGATCACTGCTCTAAGTCTAGTTACAATCTGTCACCATACAAAGATATTACATAATTCTTGACTATGTTCTTCACATTGTACATCTCGTACCTGTGACTCATTTATTTTGCATGTGGAACTTTGTACCTCTTGATCTCCCACATCTATTACTTTCCTCCGCCACTCCTTCCCCTGGGCCCTGCAGTCCAGATCTCTTAGAGGGTCACCTGGCTGCCCTGGGAGGGCCTCTCTGGGATCTTGGGAGCGAGCAGAGCCCACCTTGTCTTGGGTACCCCAAATGTGCCCAGCATTTGCTCCAGGAAGCAATCTTGCCATGGATGAGGATTCAGGACCCAGTCCTGGCTCCCTTGAGGTTGGCCATCCCTATTGGATGTAATAGAGTCAAACCTTGCACTGTAATTATAACAGGAGGAGGCCACTTTGGTTTTAAAATAGTTTTAAATTTAAAAAATGGGGCTTCCCTGGTGGCGCAGTGGTTAAGAATCTGCCTGCCAATGCAGGGGACACGGGTTCGAGCCCTGGCCCGGGAAGATCCCACATGCCGCGAAGCAACTAAGCCCGTGAGCCATAACTACTGAGCCTGCACTCTAGAGCCCGTGAGCCACAACTACTGAGCCCATGTGCCACAACTAATGAAGCCCACCTACCTGGGCCTGTGCTCCACAACAAGAGAAGCCACCGCAACGAGAGGCCCGCACACTGCAGCGAAGAGTGGCCCCCACTCGCTGCAACTAGAGAAAGCCCATGCGTAGCAACAAAGACCCAACGCAGTCAAAGATAGTAAATAAATAAAAATTTTTAAAAAAATAAATGAATTAAGTGGAAGGATGTAAGGAATGAGGAATCCTGGCAGCCTTGGGATAATTATTTTAAAATCAGCTCCCATTTCTCAAGTCCTCTGCAGTGCCAGGACTGTGGTGCCACCATCCCTGGGAGGTGGCGGTGGGGTGCTAAGATCCCTGGCAGGACCAGTCGTATTAGGCCTATTTGTTCACCACTATGCTCAGTGCTCTGGCGTAGAGCAGGAGAGTTAGCAGACAGATCCAGCTTCAAATTTTGCTTGGCCACTTGCTTATTTAACCTCCCCCAGCCTCATCTTCCTCATCTGTAACATGGGGGTGATGACAGTTCTTAGATCATAGGGAGAGTCAGACATCTGCCCCAGGCCCTTTACCTGCCTTCAGGGGCAGCATTACTAGCGTTACTTCCCTGCGGCCACCTGCCCCCAGGCTGGGCAAACACTGTCCTCCAGACACTATTCTTTTCACCATCTCCTGAAACATGGAGAGAGCAAATGGCCCCCAGATTGGGCCAGGGGTGCCAGCCAGGCTGAAACTGTGTCTGGCCCTGTGCTGGAGCAGCATTTGCTGAGGGCCACTCTGGGGACAGGTTTGCCTTGAGCATGAGAATGGAAGGGGGGAGTCAACAGAGCAAGCCTCTCCCTTACCTGCCTCCCTGGTCTCGAAGCTAGAAGTCTAAGGCCTAATTCTACCCTCTCCTCGTGGCCTCACCCAAAACCCAGAAGTATCCCATGACCCTGGAGTGCCCTTCTGGTATAGTGACAATGACAGGAGCTGTGGCCAAAGTGAGTAGACCGATGCGCCCCTAGCCCCGCTGGTACCTGCAGCTTGGCCTCCTTCCCAAGGATGTTCAGACACACCACCGGCCCATCTTTCCAAAAGCCTCGACCCTGTGGCCCCTCAGCTATCACTTTCTTCCCCTTCACAACCACACGTATACATTTGCTGTCCCGGTTTTACTTCCCCTCACTCCTCAGCCCCCTCACTGTCCACCACCTGCCCCTGTCCTGGCTCATGGGGCACAGTGATGGCTGGGTCTCTAAACCTTCTGGACTGGGGCTGGGACTAGGGTGAGTCCAGCGAGGCACTTACGGTGCACATTTAAGGAGACACGCACCCTCAGCGTCATACAAATGCAGGGTCGGGGCCTGAGGGTGTGTGCCTCCTTAAATTTTGCACCCTAAGAGATCACTTGCCTCACCCCAGCCCCAGCCCTGCCTCAGACTCCTCAGCAGCCCCCAATGCCCCTTTCCAAACTCTCCCACCTAGGTATCTCAGATGCCACTCTGTGGCTTTCCCTCTGAGCGGATCCTCCGCAGGGCCGTGCGCTGGTTCTGTGCTAGATCCTGGGTCCCTTCTCTCACTGAGCACCCTCCCCCTCCCTCCCCTCAGCCTCACCCACCACCTTGAGTGAAGATGCTCCAAAGCAGCACCCTCCACCCTCCACCTCTCTCCTCGGCTCAGACACCAACACCCCAGAGCTTCCTAGCACTCCTCTCAGGGCCCCACAAAAGCTGTGTGTCCATCCTGGTCTGCTGCTGCCCAGGCTTTCCTGTCCTCTGTCTCCGCCCAGGGACACACCCTGCACTCCCCTCCACCCTCACAGAGAGCCAAATGCTATCTTTGGGCTCCACCTCCTAGGTCCCTCTCATCCAGCCCCCTTCTCCCGGCCTCCACCACCCTGTATTCTTTCTCCTGGCCACTGGCCACCACCTTCTCTTGCTGCCAGTCCTACCTGCCAACTCACACTCTACAGGGATCTCCCAGCCTTTGCACATCTGCCCCTGCCCCTCCTCTACTCCAGATCCTTCCTGACTCTCATTAGCCTTGGGAGAGAGTCCCAGGCCCTCCCCCAGGGCTCCAGCCCCACTTGTTCTTCTCTGTTCCACAAACACCCTGGGCTCTCACCTGGGAGCTGGCACACCTGCTCTTCCCTGAGCTCAAACATGCCGTTCCCTTCTCTCTGCCTTGGAATACTGGTTGGAATTTAATTTCTTCACCAGATGAGGACATCACAGTGTGAGCTCAGGGTGGGGAAAGTAGGCTCCCCCTTTTCTCTGCCCCCACGGCCCCTGCCCCGCCGTCTGTATCACCCTCACCTGTCCGGTGCCCACGGCCCTCTGAACATCCTGTGCTTGACTCATCACCACGGCCGCCCCGATGCCTGGGACAGCACGTGACAGAACACAGGCACTCAACGGGTATTTGCTGCATGAATGCATGAATTTATTAATCAGTGCATGGATGGATTGTCATGTAGGCGGCTTTGGTGGCTGGGTGGGGACGAAGGGAGATACTCCGTAAGCTGTAGCCAGTGCCTGCCTATGGCGGCAGGTGGCTGGAGGGAGAAGGTCATGTCACCTCCAGCAGGCTGGGTCCTGATTTTAATGGCCTGGCAGTGAGGTGCGTGCATGGCGGAGGCCTGCAGAAGAGGTAACACCGAGAGGGCAGCTCTGCCCACTTCTAATTATTGCTTGAGTCTTTCTGGCAATGCCAGCTGCCTGCCCTGGAGAGTTTGGTCTCATCCATCACAGTGTGAGCTCAGGGTGGGGCTGCTGCCATTGCCAGCGGGGAAGACAAGAGGAGGTTCCCAGGGGCCTTTGGGTGTTGGAGAGCAGAGGCAGCCTTAGGCTCGGACCATGCTCAGCTCCTGTCCTTCCTGTCCCCAGGGCAGCTGAAAGGTGTCCCCCGACTTGAGGGTCCCATCGAGAAGCCTCCAGCATGGCCAAGGAGCAAGCCAGCTGAAGTGGGGTCCACAGCAGCCCTACGCAGGGAGCCTTGGATGGTTTGGTGTCTGCTGACATGGAAGCCCTTGGGAAGATGGTGCTTCAGTGGCCGGCTGGGCAGGTAGGCAGCTCAGGCCCAGAAGGAGGCCTTGACCACACGGCCCTTCAGTGGCTGTGGCGGCCGGAAGTTGTTCACCATGTGGATCCTCTCATCATCCTCTGTGGTGAAAAGCAGGCTCCGGAATTTCTCCATCTTAAGGCAGAAGAGATACTCAGTGCAGAATGGGGGCGCTGTGGTCCTCTCTGATCCCAGACACAACATCTGGCATACCCTGCCCAGCCAGTTCTGCCCCTCTCTCCTCTTTCCCCTAGGGCTTGTCCCTACTTCTCCCCACTCATGTCCTCTTTGGGAACCCAACCTCAGCTACTTACTCACTGAAGAGCCTCTGGACCTGGACCCTGCTCCACCTAGTTCCAGTTCCTGTCCAGCTAAGAATCATCGGTAAAGGCAGCGTCCAGATCCTAACACACGAGGGGTGGTCCCAGGACCCAGGGATCTCTCCTTCTAGTCTGTGTCCAGGTCCTAATAACTAACAACCAAGCTGACTCCCACCCAAGGATCTAAACATTTATTAGCAAAAGATGGGAGCCTTGATGGTGGGACCACAGGCTGTGGGCTGCTGGTTGGGAGAGTCACACTGTCCGGGTGTGCCTGAGTGTCGCATCCTTCCATCTGGTACTCTGGGACGGCTCACCTGCCTCTCAGAGATGCTGATGGGCTCCCGGAGCACAATCCAGGTGACGCTCTCGCTCAGTGGGGGTGTTGTCAGGGAGCCAGGGTAGGTCCAGTAGTGCCGGCTGGCAGGCAGGAGGTACTTGGGGTTGAAGCAGCTGAACTGGGCCTTGGTGCCCTGGGGCACGGTGGGGGACCCAGGAGTCAGCAAAGACCTCCCAACAGGATGAGAGCAACACCCTCCCCACCGATTTCTGTCAATAGGATTTAGGCTTCTCCTTGGCCCATTGATGCAAATTGTGGCCAGATGTCTGTGATCCCAGAGGCTATATTCCAGCCTGGCTGGCCCTCTCCACCCATTCCCTTGTATGTAAAAGCTGTGGTTCCTAAAGCTCTTTGGGCACCATGTTCTCTCCCTTGCCTTCAACAGAGCTTAATGGCGCTGCTGGTCAGAGAACCGTTAATGTGACAGGCATCTCATCAATCCTATGCCCACCCAGACTTCACGCTGGGCATTCAGTGGGGCCGTGGACCCTGATGACGAGGAGTCAGTTGCAGGGCACCACAGGTGCTGACCTGCACCCTTCACCTCTGCCAGGGTTTGCTGCCAGGATGGAGGAGTGGATGGGCCCACTCCATGATCTAGCCTCTTCCTTCCTCCCCACCAGGCTGCTGTAGATCAAGGGCATGGACCCCTGGTCTCACCTTAAACCGAACCATGTAGAGTGCATCTGTCAGACGGTTCATGCTGGGGTGCTCGTCCCCCGTCTGTCAGGGAGAAGTAGTGTGAGGCCAGATCTCACTGTGTTCTGGAGCTAGGGGTGGTACCAGGCCTCCCATGGCCTTCTGGGCCCAGGTAACCCCCTCACCTCCAGGAAGACACCAACCACAGCCAGGCCATCGGGTGCTGAGGCCGCCTCCCCAAAGGTGCTGTACTTCTTGGCATTCCAGTGAACCAGGTGCAGCTACAGGGGCAACGACAGGCCAGGCCAGTGCTTAGTGCCTCCCAGGGGCCATGGGAGCTCAGAGCCAGGCTTCCCTCACTCCCACCGGACTCCTGGCCCCTCTGCGGGAGGGGCGGGCCACAGATAGCATTTACCCTGTTCTGGGCCTGACCCTTTTCTGAGCCCCAAGGGACCAAAGAGATCGGGCCCTGCCCTCCGTGAACTGTGAAACAGATAATGACTATCCAGTGTGACACCTCCCTGAGGAAGTGAAGCCTGCAGCTGAGTCCAAAGAATAAGAAGGGGGTTATCAGATGGAACTCTTGGGACAAGGTATTCCAGGCTGAAAGAACAGCAGCCTGGAGATACGAAAGAGCCAGGTGTGGGCAGGGGATTCATCACATGCAGGTCAATATGGGAAGAGGTCAAGGGAGATGAGGCCAGGCAAGGCCAGTTCATGCAGGGCCTTGAATGCCAGGCTTAATCCTTGAAGGGTTGTTAGTAAGGCTGTGGTGGGACTGGATTTGTCCGTCATAAAATTCCTTCTGGACACACAGATCAGGACGACAGTAGGCAGAGTTCAGGTGGAAGACCTGAACTTCAGGTGAAGGGCGTCTCTCCCAAAGGTCCCCGAGTGACTTCACTCTCTCCAGTACCCCACACCAGGCACCTGTCAAGACCCTGGCTCCCCAGTCCCCAACTCCTTCCCCAAGTGGTAAAGGGATTCAGGTAGAGGAGGGTCTTACTTCGCTGGGGAATGACTTGCCGTCCACCGTGTGCTCTGAGCCCTCACTGTGCTTCTTGCCCCAGTGGAAATGGAGCTGCTTGAGCCGGTAGGGCCCATCCAGGGGGCCCCCAGTCACCACTGCGGGGAGAAGGGCGGTGTGTAGCAATTGCTGTGAGAGAGCCCACACCGCCCGCAGACAGCAGCGCCAATATCAGGGCAGTGCTCAGGAGAGGGATAAACTTTTCATTTGCAACATTCCTTGCTCTAAGTGGACTTGGATCAGCCCCCGCCCAGTTCCCTATGCCCTTAGCTGGGCCAGGGCAGAAATCCTGGAGCCCTGTAGGTGACAGAGGAGTCTGGTACACTGAGTGGGTATATCTCTCCATCTGGATCCTCCCCACTCTTGCCCAGTTTCGAGTGGAAGCTGGGACTTTGCCTCTCAGGCCCCGATTATCACTAACAATAGACCTCCCAGGTCTGGAGCCCTGACCCACAGCTGGGTCGGAAAAATTCTTTTCTTTAGTCCTCATAGTAGCTCATGAAAGATAAAACCTATTATTATTTCTATTTTATAAAGGAGGAACTGAGGCACAGAGAGGGCAAGGCATTTGCCCAAGGTCACACAGCAAGGCACTGAGCTAGGATATAAGCCTGCATCTACTTCATATAAGTTCAGAGCCCAAGGCCCTAATCACCAGGTCGTGCTGCCTCCCCAGAACCTGGAGGCTCCCCAGGACCTGATGTCTAGAGGCCAGCTCCTAAGGGTCCCCACTCTGATGGTCAGGCCCAGGTACCTCCAATGTCCCTCCTTCATGCCCTCTTTGGCAAGCCCCACTTATGCTGGTTTTGTGAATTTCCCACTCTGATACCTGGCGAGCTGGGGCCACTCACAAGGCCTCCTGGGACTGATTGAATTTCCAGCTGAAAGAGATCTGGCAGTGGAGGGAGCCCCAGCCAGGGCAGAATGTGAGCTCCTGGATCAGGTGACGGCCCTGGGCTCAGAGCTCCACTAGGCCCCTTGAGGACGGGTGACCAGGGCAGGGCCTTGCCCCCTGTGGGCCCTTCAAGGAGGAGGACCATGGGACAGCCCAGAGGCCCATTCTTGCTGTCCTGCCTCATCTGAGAAGCGGGGCCTGTCCATGGCAATGCTGGGTGGTTGACTGAGCCTGGGGCTGATGGCTGTGGGCCAGGGCAGGAGTAGGCAGCTCCCTGCTATGGGCTGGGAGGGCCCACTCTTCTGAGCATGACCCACCTGGGACTCCACAGTGCAGTCTCTTAGGGAGTGAACTGCCTCCCTAAACCTTGAGCTTGGCTCCCTTAGCCTCCTCTCTCCACCCTGACCATAGAACACACTGCCATTCACTGTGTACTTCCTATGTGTTCAGCAGTCTGCAGACATTAATCCCCACAGTGACCTAGAGGGGGACACATTGTTACCTGTTACCCCCTTGGCCAGACGTGGGACTGAGGCTCAGAAAGGTAGGTATCCTGCCCAAGGTCACACAGCTGGGGAGTGGCAGAGACCCAACTGTCTCACTCCCAAGCCTACTTTCTTCCCACTGGTCCCCTACCCCTGAGGCCTGGGCATTCTGATCGGGGACGGAACCCAAACCAAGTCAGAAAGTGAGCCCCTGGATCAGTGGTCCAGAGGAATGTTTCCTTGGGCCTTCGCCTGCCAAGAGTGGCCTTCACTGAGCTATTGATGTCTGAATTGAGCCCTCAGTGCCCTCTGAAGGCTGTTTAGAAGATCCAACCATTTGAAAACTGCTCCTTCATAAACTGTGATCTAAGGTCATCAAGAGCTCCATGTCCCTCCCCAAAGTTCTGGGTGGGAGGCTTTTCTTAGAATTCAGTACCAAGAATGCTGTGTCTCTCTTCTGAGGATCTGCTGGATTTCCTACCTTCTGCAACAAGAACTATAACTGATCCTCTTTCCCCTTTTCCCTAGCCTACCAGGGAACTCAGAGTTAAGCAACTAAGATCATTCCTATCTGGCTTTCCTCCCCTTCTCTGCCCTTTGATTTTCTATTTGAAACTTAAGTTTCCCTGAGTGCTTTCATTGTGCGTATGGGGGGGTTGGGGGAGGCGACAGAGGGGCAAAGTACCAGTCACTTCCTTACATAAGAAACTTTAGCAGGTTCCCTCCTTACCCCACTTCATCCCTCACAGGCCTGGTCATAAGGACAAAAATCCCTTTACTAAGGAGCACTCCCGAGGCTTCTGTCCAAGAATTTATCATGAAGGAACCCGAACTCTAATCCCAGGGCAAAGAGACCTTGGAAGGAGCTGCTACAAGTTCCCACTGGCCTCTCTTTTGTCCAGGATGGTTGGGATCTTGAGGCTGTAGGTGGGTTGGAGAAAAGACCTTTGGAGTGGGACCAGGCTGGTTCTGGCCCTCCCCAGCTCAGTGAGTCTCTACTTGCCCAACTTAGAGGTAGGTTCTTGAGAAGAATAAAAGAACTGCCTGTGACCTTAGCAAGGGGCCTGGCACACTGAACATTTTATTTCCGTTCTCTCTCTGCTGGGCTTGGCCAGATCACACAGAGAGGAGGGTTTGGCCTTAGGCCACACAGCAGCTCAGTGATGGGGCAGGGAGTGAAAACAAACCTGACCTAAAGCACAACTGAAAGAGAAGAAAGAGAATTAGCATTTCTTGAGCATCTGCTATATGCCAGCACTACAAACATCACTTCAGTTTTTCATTTCTCCTCTCTATGATCCTAGGGAGGAAAACAGGGTCTTAATGCTCCCATCCTATGCATCAGGAGACTGAGGCTCAGCCTAAGGCTTCACAGCTGGTGAGCAGTGGAGCCTTCCTTCCCTACCACGGCATGCTGCCCCTCCTGAGCCTGCCCGAAACAGGTTAGGATCCCGGGGGGAAGGGTACCAGGGTCCGGCAAACATCACCATAAGGGCCACTTACCAGTTCGGTCATCACTGTCATTGAAGTCCACTTGGACAGAGTGGCCATTGTTGGCGATGCTGAGGGACGTGCAGGACTCATAGGAAAGCTCCAGTGTCCTCAGGCTGGGCGAGTACACAGCCTTTCTGGATACGATATTGATTGGTGACTGGCGGTCTCCCTGGGCAATGGGATACAGCTTGTGCCAGTGTGAGGGGCCTGCAGATGGGGAGAGGGCAAGGACTCAGGCCAGCCTGAATCTCTGGGCTGCAGACTGAGGGCACCTGTAGGGGATGGTCCATGGCTCCCTGCTTTGGAGCCATGAAGTGTGGAGCTCCAATCCCAGCTCTGCCACTTCCCCTCTCAGCCTCCATTCCCTTGTCTGCGAAATGGCCTCACTAAAACTCTCCACCCAGAGCTGATAGGAGGCCCAGAGAGGTAATGCATGGAAGGCAGCCCAAAAAAGCTACAGGCTCAGGGGCAGTTTGGGGTAGTGGGTCCTCCCCGACAGGCAGTATTGCTTAGAGAGGTCCCCGGGCTCCCGAACTCCCTTACCTGACCCTACCAGGTATCTGGCCTCTTCCTGCACTTTGGCCAAGTTCGAGTTGGTGTTTGTGAAAATGACAACAAAAGTTCACATCAACCTCGCTTTGGCTCTGTGACATGAATTTGCTCCTCATACCAGCCTCGTGAAGTAGAAACGAGCATGATCCCCATTTCACAGATGAAGGAACTGAGGGCCACTGGCGCATGTGCGCGCACACACTTGGGCACTGGTATAAATACACAGTGTGTGCATGCATTGCCCCCAGCTGCCCTCCCCAGACATGTGCAGGTCCGGGGAGATTTTCACGTGTGCACACATATATGCACAGTGACCTGAGCTCACCGCACCCAGAGCCATCAGGCCCAGTAACACATGTGTACAAACACATAGCCCTGCCAACTACCTCTGACACACACATACGCACCCTCACACACAGCTATCCCCTGTTGCAAACCCAGGTCTGCACTAAGAGACTACAGCAAAACACATGCTCGTGCACACACATACACACACGCACACACACGCACACACACCTGCATGCACACCCACGAGCACCCACCACCTGCCTCCCAGAGACTCCATCTGCAGCCGAGAGGCTCGGCATCTCCCCGGGGAACATCCTGAGATGCAGCCTATTTTTAGAGCTATTGCCGGCTGGTGCTTCTCCCCGTTTTTGGCTTCTTAAGTTTTCCTGAGAAAACAGCAGCAGGTGCCGACAAAGCTGTGTCCCCAGTGGATGACTCAGAATCATGGCCCAGACCCACTGGGTTATTTTTGAAGTCCTGTGAGCATGCTGCATGCCGGCACCTCCATCCTCTGTCTTTTCCTCCCTCATCGCAACTAGACTGGGTGGCCCAGGACTGGGCGAGGGGCAGCAGCTTCAGGGTGGCCAGCTATGGGGCAGACCTATTGGGATACTGGACACAGTGCAGGTGGGCAGGACCAGCAAGAAGGCTGGAGTCAGGGGGAAACACCCTGAAGCTGGCTGGGAGCAGGTGCTGGGGGGGAAGAGGATCTTCTATGGGTCGTGTCAACCTGCCCCTTCTCTGCCTCTCTCTACATCTCTGCTGATCTCTGTTGCCTTTTTCTGAAAGTCTCTTTCTAGCTTTTGCATGTCTAGATTTGGGGTTCTCCTCTCCAGAATATTCTCCTGTGTGCTTGGGGTCCCAGAGGGGCCAGAGACACCACAGCACCTCCCTAACTCCTTCTGGCCCATTGTAACCTCCAAACCCCCAGGCTTTGTAGCCTAGGACCCCCGCCCACCCTCACAGAGTGCCTGTCTCTCCTCAGATGAGTGGGACGGGGCTGTTCCTCCCACCAGCACTTCCGCTTCTCCCCACCCCCACCTGCCTTGCCTGGGTTTCATCCTGGCAGCCTGGATCTTTGCTCCTCATTGTTCATCTCGGGAAAAGCAAGAAACCCTTATCCCACACCCCGACCCCAGTTTGGTAAGAAATAGCCCAAAAGGAACTGACTTGCCCCAGTCTCACACTCAAGCCTTCTGGCTCTCACCGTCTGCCTCTTCTCCCTTCCTCTGCATCTTAAGTAAACTGAGGCAGGACCGAGGAGCTATTCTCCCGGTCAGACCAGGAGGCTGGTGTGGGCCACGGGCTCCCATGCCTCACACCTGGACGTGCTCAAACACCCTCCCCGAGGCAGACACCCAGACACATCCGTGAGCCCCCAGATGCTCCCTTCCTTCACATACCTGCCGACTCGAAAGCTCGGACGCTTCGACCGGGAAACTCTCTGCGCAGGACACCGCGCCCTTGCCCACGGGGAGCCCAGCTCGCCGGAGGTCCCGGCACACACGCGTGCGCGCTCCCCGCACAGACACCGCGCACAGCGCTCCGCCGGGACCGCCCCCCGCTGCCCTGGGCTACCTTCACCCGCTGCGCACTCCGGCGATGAGTGAGTGTCCCGGCCCGGGTCAGAGCGAACGGGGCCGTCAGGGGCTGCGCGGAAGAGGCGGCTGGACGCGCTCGGCCGCGGGGTGGCTAGCTGGCGGCGGGGCCGGCCGGGGTGCAGCGCGGACTTTGCGCCAGGTGCGGGGGGAGGCAGGGCTCGGGCCGGGCGGGTGGGCCGGGTACTGGGGAACGGATGGGAGAGGGATCCCGGTCCCGCCTATAGGATAGGGGGCTTGAGGGTACCGCAAACCCGGCTGGGCGCGAGGGTCAGGAGCGAGTCCCAGCGGGTGGGGGCCGGCCGGGGTCTGCGCCTACCGTCGTTGTGGCCGTAGCCCCAGCCGTGGTGGCCGGTCATGCTGTTGCCGTCCCCGCAGCCGTGCACCTGCCGGCTCGGCTCAGTTCTGCTCGCTCGGACTGCGGCTCCGGCCCCGCTCGCTGCCGCGGAGCAGCCTCTTAAAGCGGCGGCAGGCGGGAGGAGCAGTTCCCAGGCGACCCGCCCCCCACCCCCCCCCAGCCGGGCGAGAGGGGCCGGCCCTGCCCCGCCCTCGCCCACCCGCCCTCAGGCCAGTTGAGCCCCGAGTTGAGATGCGAGATGCGGGGGGTGGGTGGGGGGCGGTCAAGGGGACCTAAACCCCAGCCCCATCCCCACCCTGGCCCTGGTCGGAGCACTCTCCCTCCTTACCTCCAGCCCGTGTACAGGCTCTGGGGCAGGAGAAACGGCCAATGCTGAGGGCGGCCTCTGTTTCTCCACATCCCATCTATTCCCCAGGCTTGTCACCGGGCAGTAAATCCCACCACCAGAGACCTGGGCTCTGGGCCCTGAGTCCTCTTGGACTGGGACCCTTTTAAACTGCAGATTGCACTGACCATCAGGTGTCCAGAACTGGAGCTTCCCCTGTTTGCCAGACACTGGCAAGTTCTGGGCCAAGCTTTGGGTCCTTCCTGTCATCTAACCCTCTCAGCTTCCCTACAACAATGGGTGGTCCTTCCATTAGCCCTATTTCACAGAACAGGAGACTGAGGCCCAGAGAGGTGAAGTGACTTGCCCGAGGTCATCTAGCCAGAGAGTGAGGGATTTACTCTTAGTTTGTCTCACTCCTAGGCTCTTGTGCTCTTTACTACTTCCCCTTGGTGCTGGGGGCAAAGGGGTCCTGTGGTTGGGATCTGGGAGCCCTGGGCTAGGAGGAGGCCTCGGGCAGAACCGGAGCCTCAAAGGGGGAGTGGGGAGTTTGGGCTTTAACCACTGGTCATTAAGACAGACAGACCCACAGACACCAGCTGGCTTTCCCATGGAACTAAGTCTGAGGCCTTGCCTCCACCCTCTCCTTCTCCTCCTGGCTTCCTCCTCTGTCTGGGTCTCTTTGCCTATTCCTCTACAGCCCGCTGTTTGTCCCTCCTTTCCTTGCCTCTCCATGACCTTTGGCACACCTGCTGGGAGCTCAGGGCCTCCACCCTGCACTCAATCTCAGTGTCTGCCTTGGCCCAACATTTTCCCACCCACAAGGCCTGGTCCTTGCTGTGCCCTCCACCTGGGACGTCCTCTGTCTTCCACCCACTGGCTGCAGCCGGCCCAATCCGACTCATCTGAGGATGTGGCCTTATGCCAAGGATAGGGCTTGTCTCTGGCTAGGCCGCAGCAGGCAGTTTTGGGAAGACAAACAGATGAGTGGATAGAAGGACAGACAACTGATCCCACCCAGGGGCTTGTACCCAACCAGAGTTGAAGGGCCGTTTGTGAAATGTCTGCTGGTCTGACCTCTACCAGAGGAGACTATTTCAGGCCCTGTTGTTGGCTGACCTTGTGAAGGAATGTGCCATCTTGTCTGCCAGGCTCCCCTATATCTGTGTGGCTGTCTTGATTTCCCTCTCCCAGGCCCTGAACCCCTCAGGTCCCCAAGTAGAGTTGTGGAGATCAAGGGACAACTGGTCGCTGGGCCAAGGTCAGTCAGTGACTTCCCAACACTGCCTAGATGCTCCTCCCTGACCCAAGAGCTGGAAGGGGCCCTTAATAGAAATCTGACCCTAGGGCAGGGGGGCAGGGCATCATAATAAACATGTAGGGGGTGGCCCCCAAGACTGTCATGTGACAGGGCATGCAACCTTGTCAAGGTCCCAGGTCTCCAAACCAGGAATGTCATCTTTAGACCAAGAAGACAAAGACTAGCTTCAGAGTGAGGACTGCAGTCTCCGGTCATCTCCCAGAAGAGCCAGCCACTCTTCTCCTGGGGGAGTTGCAACACTTTCAGGGCCTGGGGATGGGCCCAAATGTGTCTACTTCATTGACCTACTTCCCCCTCACTGTGACCCAGAAGACATTTCCATGTTTATTTCTGGTGCTAAAAAAGTTGGGATTACTTAGTTTTGAATCCAGTTTCATCCGCACAGCAACCCCACTTTACAGATGAGGAAAGCAAGGCTCAGAGAAGTTGAGTTAAGCTGTACAGTGAGCAACTGAGCAAGAATGAAAACCCAGGGCTGCTGAGTCCCTTATTCAGCATGTCTAAAATCACCAGGAGAGGGGAGGAAGTGGATTTTAAATTTGATTATCATTTGTGTATATATGCAAGACTCTCTTCACAATGACTTAAGAGAAGCTAGGGAGAGTGTTTGCCTCCAGGGTGGAGACTGGGAGCCCCGAAGGGTGGGGGAGGGTGCGGAATGGGGGTGGGAGGGACACTCTTTACTGCCTACTCCTTTTGAAAGAATTAAAGTATTGCCTCTTTAACAACCAGATAAAAGTTGATCCAATTCTTTCCTTCCTATATCCTGTCTTTGGCAATTTTCTCTGGGTGCTGGAGAACTGGGAACTCAGGTAGGTAAGAGGAGCTGATGGAGTCTGCCTGTCTCAGGTGAAGCTCCAGTTTCCCTGCAGCCCACTCAGGTCAACTTGGGAAAGACTGTGCCCCCATTCAGGCACCTCCTGTCTCAATTACGTGCCGTCTTTAAAGCTGAATTGATTTCACTGCTCTGGAGTTTACTCTTTGGTCTCACTGGCATCAGTGGCCTCCTGGATTTTGCTGTTTCTGGAGGAGAGGGAGGGTAGGGATGTGTGAGCCATAAGGAAGGGCTGGAGAAGGAGGGCAGGAGCAGATTGCACAGCCACACCTCATTCATTGCGAACTTGACCAGATCTCACTTCCCCTCTCAAAGTTACAAGTCTCTCTTCTCTATAACAATGAGGTGATTGGGGCATCATCCCAGCCCTGACCACCTCATGGGATCCCTGTGAACATTGGTTGAGACAACAGTTGTCCAGTGCTGCACCAACAGGCAGAATCTTGCCTGCTCTTCACTGTGTGTTGTGCACATGGCCAACGGGCCAGACCGAAGACCTAGAGACTCTAAGATCAAAATTACAGCTTATTGTGGGTTGTTTTTTGTTTTTTTAAAAATTTATTTATTTTTGGCTGCATTGGGTCTTCATTGCTGCACGTGGGCTTTCTCTAGCTGTGGAGAGCAGGAGCTACTCTTCATAGGGGTGCATGGGCTTCGCATTGCGGTGGCTTCTCTTGTTGTGGAGCACGGGCTCTAGGTGCGCGGGCTTCAGTAGTTGTGGCTCGCGGGCTCTAGGGCACAGGCTCAGTAGTTGTGTGTGGTGCACGGGCTTAGTTGCTCCGCGGCATGTGGGATCTTCCCGGACTAGGGATCGAACCCGTGTCCCCTGCATTGGCAGGCGGATTCTCAACCACTGCACCACCAGGGAAGTCCTGCACCTGTTTTCCGATCTATCAGATGGGAATAGAGAATCGAGAGGGCTAATAGGATGGTCAGGTGAGGTGATATCTGTGAGTGTCCTGGAACCAAGTATGTACTCTCAGAACTCTGTTCTTTCCCCTTCTCCTTAGCTTGTTTGGGCACATTTAAACCAAACATTCCTTTTCCAGTTACAGTGGTAGCACCTATTTATTGTAGAAAATTTGGGAGAATCAGAAAAGCATAGTAAAGAAAATTAAAATCACTGGTCATATTACCACCCAAGAATCACCACTGTTAACATTGTAGTGACCATACTGCCGGGCTTTTTCAATATGTATTAGTAGTACTTAAAAGACAATCGGAATCATATGTGGAGCTTTGTGACCAGTTTTTTTTTTTTTTTTCACTTCATGCCCTATGATAAGCATTTCCCTGTGTCATCAGTCTTGGAGAACTTGACACTTAATAATTGCACAGTGCTCTAGTATGTGGATTATTTCCAGTTTTCACAATTGTAAAGGCACTGCAGTGGGCATGCTTATTTATACATCTTTGTGTGTGTGTCTGATGATTTCCCTGGGAAAGTGGTATAACCAAATAAGATGAGGTACACATTGTGGGTAAGGCATTTTAAAATGTAGAAGGTATGGTGGAAATAGTTTTAGAAATTTATTCTTTCATTCAAAGCATTTATTGAAGACTTATTAGATGCGAAGGGCTGAGCCAGGCATGGGTGATACAATTGTGAACATTACAGACCCACAGTTTTCTCAGCCGAGGGGTGGAGGAAAGAGGCAAGAGATTGGCCAATGAGCACCAGGATGAGAAGGGCTGGGATAGATAAGGTCAGGTAGGGAGGGCTAGTAGCTAAGGCCTGGGAGTGTGTCCTAGGTTGTGATTCATTCTTCCTGGCTGGTTTCCCAAAGATTATAACCTCTTCCAGGGCAGAGGTAGCCCCAAACTTCCTGGAAGCCCAAGTATCCTGTCTCCTCCAGCTGAGACCAACCAGGATGGGTAAAATAATAGACCTAAGCTGGGTCTGGCTAGATCTGTAGGGGTGTTTGTTTCTAATCCCTGTGCCACCTTTTAATAGCTGTGAGAATTTGGAATTTTGCTCACCTCTCCAAGTGTCTGCTCTCTTGGGTATAAAATGGGGTAAACAGTAGTATCTATTGCATTGGGTGAGTACAATGAGCACAGAATGGTGATGCGTGTCAAGGGCCTGCCTGGCATATGAGTACTCAGTAAACAGGGGTTGTATAGGGATTTGGGGGCTCAGTTTTCCCACCTGTTCAGTGGGAGATTGGCCTAGGTTGGTGGTTCTCAAACTTGAGCATGCATCAGAATCACCAGGAGAGCTTCTTAAAAGTTTCCGAGGCCTCACTCCAGAGTTTCTGTTTCAGCAGGTCTGGAATGGGGCCTGAGAATTTGCACTTCTAACAAGTTCCCAGGTGATACTGATGCTTCTGGTCCAGGGCCTCACTTAGAAAACCAATGGTCTAAATGAATGCAGCCTTTGTTTCCTGTTCTGATACCTTTGATTCCCTGTCTTCTATAATAGGAAGAACTTGTGAGGTGCCCTGAGTTCCCAGATGGCAGGGTTTGTGTCTGGTCAACCGCCATGGCTCCATCACAGGCACCTTTCCATGCTGTTATGGGTTGAATTAGATCCCCCAAAAGTTGTTGAAGTCCTAACCCCCAGGACCTTTGAATGTAATCTTATTTGGAAATATGGTTTTTGTAGATATAATCAAGTTAAGATG